TGTGCTTCTGCTCTCTGAAGATGCCGGTCACAGGTGCTGGCGAAACGTTAGGAAACAAAACTTCCAGAACACGGCCACACAGCCCGGAAGACAGCCATATACATTATCAACTTAATTAAAAATTATGAAAGCATATACTTGACCATTGTGCCAAAGTACAGAGACACCATCTTTCTTTCTGGGACAATGATAACCTTCCTCTCTTTTTTCTTCTCCTTCAGTGATATAATCCCATTATTATACATAGAAGAGTTACAGAGGGCAATTAGTTTTGCACTTATAGTAAGAGGGAGAAAGACAAAGAATGTTACTTCTAATTACAATAAAAGTACTAATGGTGGGCAACTCAGTGATTTGGCTTAAGCTTCAGGGTTGCCAATATTAACTTGAGTTACTTCAGTTTAACATGTAGTTGTTTTACTGTATATTGGGCCATTCCTTGTGTTAAAATATCCCATAGAAGAGCATGGATTAGTGGTTTGTACCCTGAGATCAGTACTGATATATAGTCTGATGGTTTCTTTGATTGGTACTATAATGCAGTACATGAGATGTTCACACAAGTTTCCAGCATTTTAGAACTGTAGTGCTGTTCATAATTGCATCCATGTATTTTCCATATTCATTATTTTCAGAAATTCCTGAGTGGCAATTATGTCTAACTGATGTACTTAAAACAATCACAAGTGCTTCCAGATGGACTACTGCTATTAAAAAGCATTTGAACAGTTATTCCACCTTTCTCTCCTTAACAGTTTTTTTAGTAAGAAAAAAAGAAGAAATTGTAGAGAAGTAGGTGAGGGTTGCAAACAGAAGACAAAATCATCATCTGGATCTCCTGAAAGATTCTGTTAGACAAAGAAGCATCTGGAAGCACTGAAGTTGCTTATGCTATCGTAAAGCATGTCCAAAATACTAGTTTGAGACACAATTTCATCAGATACAATAAAAAAGATTAATACCATAATTTAGTTGTGTGACTTTAAAGATATAATTTCTACACTGAACTGTTTTGCAAACGATTTCCCCTGACTGGAAACATTTTGTACATTATTTTCCTGAATATATGCATTTTTGTGAAATATTTTCAATAACATTTATACTTATTGATAACCAGTTTTTCAAAATATAGGGATTACACATTTCAAGGAATATTTGTTGGAATTTACATATTTGTACACATTTGCATATTCATTGGAAAATGTATAATTATATTAGTTTGCATTAAAACAACCAACATTAATTTCTTCTCCATTCCTATTTGACATGCTTTGCAATGAAAAACTTTAGAATATGTACTAGAATGAATGGCTAAAAATTCTGTAAGATTTGTCCCCGGTTTTTCTAATCTTGGAATGCCAATCATGGATGCAATGTTGCCAAGGTGGAAGTGGGGAAATTCTGCTCCAAATCTCCATATCACATCATATTAATCATATATCATATCATATCATATCATATCATGATGAGGTTCCTCGATCTCAGAATTCTTTGCAGCCAGTCAAATTATTTGAATTAAAAACGAAAAAGTTTAAGCTGCACAGATAATGGTACAGAACATCTGATTATGCAGATGGGTGAGGGGTAAGGAAAACAAAACCAAAACCAAAACCAAACTAAGTAACCAGTTTATACATTTGAGCTGTAGATCCCTGGTAATTTATCCATAAAAACTTTAGCATCCATAATAACTTCAGAATGATACAGTATTCAGATTAAAACACCAGGAAGCCAAACCTGATATAAAAAGAATATCACATCCAGTAAAATTCCAAGACAAAAAATAAACATATGAGAACTTAATGTTCTTTCAAAAGATAGGTCTTAGCAGAAGGGGAAATTTGAATAGTACCTTTTCTTCTTTTCTAGAAAGCATTGTCCCCTTTTTTTCTGCTAAAAGCTGCACACAAAAGTTATATGGGAGTGGAATGTTACCTTTTTAAAAACAGTACAATTATGACCCTTGCTATTATATACTGATCCCAGCTACCATTAGGTTCTGTTTACAGAGCAGAGAGATATGCGTATCTGCAGACCAGTCCAAAGCCTGCAGTGTTTTAATCTTATTGGAGTTGACAAATGGTATGCTTAGATTTGTATCAGGTCCTCTTTCATAAAACATAAATATGGGTACAGGCTCCAAAGGTAAAAATGAGGAGGATGGAATAAAACCACTTGTCCCTTTTCCTTCAGGAGATTCTCTGATTTTCTTGGAACCCATTGATATTGATTTCACTTATTTGTTTATAAAAAGCTTGTTACAAATTCTTGTTACCCCAGGCAGCTGGGGTAACAAGACATTGCTTTTTCATTTGAGATAAAGATCCTATGTGAAGATTCCTAAATGGGGTATTTTTCACAGATTTCCAGCAACTCTCAGGAAGTCTCAAGTTCAGCTTTCAGAAATTGAGGCTGAACCTCAAAAGGAACATCACATTGTTTAAGCAGTTTGTAATAACAATGAACATTAGAGGTCAGTTTCTTGGTATCTTGAGTGGAGCTTGAAAAAGAAAGTATGAGAGAGATCATTATTTGTTCACCATCCACAAAACACTGGAGAATCTCTTTGGGGCACTTTTACTTGCTTTGAAGGCATTGACTCAGCCTCTACGTCTTCATGCCTTCTGAGTATGATAGCTAGAGATTATGAGTTGAAATCCCAAATTTTTGAAGAACATCAGACTGATTTTGATTATAAACATAATCTCTTGCAGTAAAGACTTCATCACAGCAAAGGGAACAAACTGCAATATATCACCTTTAACCTCCTGAAAAAAAACCTCTCCATCCTATGACACTATAATTAAAAAGCACAATAAGTATAAAAATGGGGTTATCTATAGCAGAATTAGACAGAAGGTACCATGGGATCTACTGGTAGATCTCTTGTAGACCTGCAATAGACAGGTGAGTGTTTCTAATTTCCAAATATTAACAGCAGCAATGTGACTTTGTTCCACCTGAATTATTTTTTGTTTGAAAGGACTGTGAGCTCAGCATTCTTCTGGTACTAGGCTCAGAATGTACTAAACACAGGCACACATCAAACACCCTTGTGTTTTAGTTCCAATACCAGGTTCTCCACTGATCCAAATCTGGGTCTACTTTTTAAGAAAAAAAGGTGGGAATTTCTAATAACGAGAAAGCATACATATTAGCAGCATTTTTAATAATGTTTTCAAAATTCTACAAAAAGCCTTGTATAATAAAAACAGAAATGGGGCAAAATGAATACTTGAATATATAAGAAGAACTGCTGCCTTCTAATTGCTTTCAGTTCAATGATTTATAGTTTAGCTTTTCACTTCTGATGCTCATGCTGAAGTCTTGCATCTTCTTTTTTCCTTGGATTCTTACCTTCACCAGTAATATGCAGATGCTTACAGGGAGTAATTGACACAAATATGTGATGGGTGTTGGCTCTTTCAATTGTTAATACAGAGCAGAGTTTCTCAATCTTGGCAACTTTAAGATATGTGGACTTCAACTCCCAGAATTCCCCAGCCAGCCAGGCTGGCTG